CCAGTGACCTCTCCGTGCATGGGTCAATGCTCAACCACTGAGCCACAATGGCTGGGTAAGATAATTTATATTCTTTTTTTCAGACTAAGTTTTCAAAATTCAGTGTTTATATTTACAGAGCATCTCAATTCAGACTAGGCACACTTTAAGAGCTCAGTAGCCAGCCATGATGTGGCTAGTTACAACAGTATTAGCAAAGCTCTAGACCCTAAACTAGGGAGTGAGCTATCTGCATGATTTTAGGGGTATAGTATTATGGGCATGTGGTTATGTAAAAGAAACCCTTGTGTAGGCCTGCGGACCAGAGAGTCCTGGATTCCGTTCCCGCTGAGGGCATGTACCTTGGTTGCAGTTTGTCTGTGGCCCCGTTGGGGTCCTGTGGGTGGCAACCATTCTAAGTGTCTCTTTCTCATCAATCTTTCTCTCTCTCTCTTCCTCTCTTTCCCTCCCACTGTGTCTGAACAAAAAAATTGAAAAATGACCTCGGGTGAGGATAAAAAAAAATGTAACCCTTGCCCTGGCAAGTGTGGCACAGCGTTTAGAGCATTGGCCTGAGCACCGCCAATGGGTTGCAACCCCACGAGGGGTGCATTTGGGAGGCAACCAATCTATGTGTCTCCCTCACATCAATGTCTTGCTCCCCCCCTCCCTTCTACTCTCTCTTAAAAAAAAAAAAAATCGCCCTGGCCGGTTTGGCTCAGCGGTTAGAGCACCAGCCTGCGGTACAGAGAGACCCGGGTTCGGTTCCCGCTAAGGGCATGTACCTCGGTTGCAGTTTGTCCCCGGCCCTGGTTGGTCGTGCGGGTGGCAGCCACTCGATGTGTCCCTTCACGTCGATGTTTCTCTCTCTCTCTCTTCCTCTCTCCCCCTCCCGCTCTATCTGAACAAAAAATGGAAAAATGTCCTCGGGTGAGGATAAAAAAAAAAAAAAAAGAAAAAAAAAAAAAATCAATGGAAAAAATATTCTCTAGTGAATATTAGTGAGGATTAACAAACAAACAAAATAACTCAAATGGCTGCAGAGGCTAGGCAAGTAGCAATAATAGATGGCCTGGTGTAAAATAATAGGTAGTAGTGGGGACTAGGACCCACTGGAGGGGACAACCTCATATCTAAAGGGGAGCTCTCCTGAGCTGAGTTTTATTTTTTTTTTTTTTTTTTTTATTTTATCCTCACCCGAGGATATTTTTCCATTTTTTTGTACAGATAGAGTGGGAGGGAGAGAGAGGAAGGGAGAGAGAGAGAGAAACATCGACATGAAGGGACACATCGAGTGGCTGCCACCCGCACGACCAACCAGGGTCGGGGACAAACTGCAACCGAAGTACGTGCCCTTAGCGGGAACCGAACCCGGGTCTCTCCGGACCGCAGGCCGACGCTCTAACCGCTGAGCCAAACCGGCCAGGGCCTGAGCTGAGTTTTAAAAGAGTGATGGCAAACAGATGTGTATGAGCAGTATAAACAGCTCTGTTTCCAATTTGTGGCTTCTGTGAACTATGGAATCAAATGTACAAAATATTTGTGAAGAAAGGGTGTTTTTTGTTGTTTTTAAATTTTTTTAATATGTTTTTATTGATTTTTAGAGAGAGTGGAAGAGAGAGAGAAACATCAATGAGAGAGACACATCAATTGCCTGCCTTCTGTACAACCCCCACTGAGGATCCAGCTCAAAACCTAGGCATGTGCCCTGGCCAGGAATACAACCGGCAACCTCTTGGTCCATGGGTCACTTCTCAACCACTGAGCTACATTGGCTGAGCAGAAAGAGTGTTTTAATAAAAGAATAATGTCCAGGCAAATGGATAGAAAAGCTTGAGGATTTGACTGGATCCTGTACAAGTGTGCACTTCAATGCATTAGACCACCACTGCAACCTCTGATTATAATTTGACTTTCAAGTAGACTTTCCTACTAAGGAAATAATTTCACAACCAACCTGGGCTCCCTATAAATTAGTAAATTTGTATCATGATTTTGTGGTTGATGTTGTTATATTTAAGATTTCAAACATTCTGAGCTTGGAAAAATTAAGTTTGTAGGTTTTCAGGGCTGTTTACTAGCAGACCCTGGCTTTTTTTTTTTATCCCAACCTTAAGAGTAGGCATTTATGGTGTGGCTCTGTTAGAGTGTCAGCCTGTGCACTGGAGGGTTGCGGGTTTGATTCCCAGTCAAGGGTATGTATCTGGGTTGCAGGTTCAATCCCTGGCCCTGATCGGGATACATGCAGAAGCAACCAATCGCTGTGTCTCTCTCACATCAATGTTTCTCTCTCTCTCTCTCTCTCTCTCTCTCTCTCTCCCTCTCTCCCTCTCTCTCTCTCCCCCCCTTCCCTTTCACTCTCTAAAAATCAATAGAAAAAACGTCCTTAGTTGAAGATTAACAACAACAAAAAAAAGAGTAGACATTTAATAATTATTTTATGGTTGATTGTGAAATCTCTTTGTCGCATGAGTTATTTGTCTTTGTACCTCTAATGTCTGACCTAGTACCTGATATATAGAGGCACTCAATAAACATTTGTCCTTACTTTTTGGGCAGGCTCATAGACTTTTAAACATGAGAATCTGATGAAAGCTATGAATGACCCTTGTCCTGTGTTACCCATATTCCCTCAGTCCACCTCAGTATTCACTACAGCTATGGTAAACACCTTTTGTACAAGCCCACCGCTTCCTACCTTAAATACCTTTGTCTGGAATTGCCAGTAGAGATAGCATTCCGTATAGCTATCTGCAACTAACAAGAGAAGGGATTTAGAGACTGAACACTAGTTTCCTACCCCCTCACAGTATTTTTCTGAGTTCCCAGTGGGGTTCAGTACTAACTGTCCAAAGCACTTTTTTTGGCTTTCTACTCACTTCCTTACACTTATTGGATTCTGGGGTCACCACCCAAATTAGCTTCTTGAATCCAAATTTTTGTCTCAGGATCTATTTGGAGGGAAATCCAAACTATGACAACACTCTCCTTAGGAAAATGCACATAGAAATAGAGGTTTGCAGAAAGTATGAATCCCCTTAGAAGTTATTTAAGTTGTAAAGAAAAGTGACCAGGGCAAACGTCATGTGACCCAACGTCCATGAAAATTCAGTCAGTCTATGCAGTCTAGCAACTTAACATAGTCTTTAATGGTCTGAGAAGTTGGCTGACTTCAACCAGCTCTTAGAATTTATTTTCCCAGAACCTAGTAAGTCATCTCTCCATTCTTCCTGGTTTGCATCACTCTTACTTTGTAGAACATACCAGTAAGTCTTGGGGGTCTAAAGATGCTCCATGCTTGCCCTGGCTGGTTTGGCTCAGAAGTTACAGAGTTGGCCTGTGGACCAAAGAGTGTCAGGTTCAATTCTAGTCAAGTACATCTACCTCAGGGTGGTTCTATCCCTGGCCCCAATTGGAGTCCTGCGGGAGGCAACCAATTGATGTGTCTCTCTCACACCGATGTTTCTCTCTCTCTCTCTCCCTCCCTCCCTCCCACTCTATCTGAACATCAATGGGAAAATATCCTCAGGTGAGGATATTTTTTAGTGGGATCCGAACCCGTGACTCTCTGGTCCACAGGCCGATGCTCTAACCGCTGAGCCAAACTGGCCAGGGCAGGTGAGGATATTTTTTAAATAATAAATAATAAAAAGAAGAAACCCCAGTCCTAGCCGGTTTGGCTCAGTCGTTAGAGCAGTGGTTCTCAACCTGTGGGTCGTGACCCCTTTGGGGGTCGAATGACCTTTTCACAGGGGTCACCTACCATCAGAAAACACATATTTCCGATGGCAATTCATAACAGTAGCAAAATTACAGTTATGAAGTAGCAACAAAAATAATTTTATGGTTGGGGGTCACCACAACATGAGGAACTGTATTAAAGGGTTGCAGCATTAGGAAGGTTGAGAACCACTGGGTTAGAGCGTCAGCCTGCAGAGCAGAGAGTCCTGGGTTCAGTTCCCACTAAGGGCAATTTGTTCCCAGCCCCATGGGGTTTTGTGAGTAGCAGCCAGTCGATGTGTCTCTCTCTCACATTGATGTTTCTCTCTCTCTTCCTCCCTCTCTCCTTCCCGCTCTATCTGAAGATAAATTCAAAAATGTCCTTGGGTGAGGATGAAAAAAAGAAGAAACCCTATGCTTGAAATCAATCAAAAGAGTAATGTTAATAGTCACAGGGATGTAAGGTACAGTATAGGGAATGTAGTCAATAATATTGTAATAACTATGTATGGTACCAGGTGAGTACTAGAAATATCAGGGGGAAGACTTTGTGAAGTATATGAGTGTCTAACCACTATGTTGTACACCTGGAATACAAAATAATGTTGAATGTAACCTGTAATTGAAAAGAAAAGAAAAAAAAAAGCCACATAAAACCTGTCTAAATATGCCAACAAATAAGAGTAATGTTACTCATACCTATTGACTCTCATTGTTTCTTCCCAATCATAGTGTTTCTGGACACCACAGCCATGTCCCTGTGACCCTTAGATCTTTTCTTGCTGTGTTCATACAGAGCCAGGCATTCTATAACTGTAGCTGTTTTCTCACTTCTGGATTCCAACATAGCTCCCTATTCTATCTCATCCTTTTGAGAATCTATAACCTTTGACACATTCCTAAGCCCATTCTGGTATCATCTGGAAACTTTATGGCATGTTCTAGTTCTGTAATAATTGAGTAATCCTGATTATCCAAATTCCTAATAAGCTACATAAAGAGAACTAACAGCAAGGTCACCAACCCCTATATCCTAACCACAGCACAGAAAAGCTTCTTAGCTATACCCACATAGAGGCTAGCACATGTGTTTGTGCATGATTATTTGCCTTATGTACCATTGAATAAGTATGTCTTCATACACACCTATAAATGTGGTTTCGTGGGTGTGGGTGTGTAAGTAACCAGGGCTCGGGTTTGGTCTTGACATTTGAATAACGACTGTTTAGTATTTGACTTTAATTAGTCTCTGTGCATTGTTAGCCTCAGTTTTCATCTGCCCTCAAATATCAGAGGAAAAATGAGTTTATTTTCTTGAAATTTATTTACTGTTACCAGTGGCAGAGCAAATTCCATAAAAGAGCAGGTTCCATACAGAGCAAGTGGAAGAGTAGCTCTGAGTTGGTGAGGAAGGATGCTTGGAGTGAGGACCCAGAGTGAAGGATGGAAAGGCAGATTTCTCCCTCCTTTTTCCCTCCACTCCCAAAAGGAATGGAGGTAGAGGTATCCTGCTCAGTATTCCCTCTTCAAAATTGAAACAAAAGAGGGGAAACTTGATGCAAAGTAGAGGAGGAAACACCTCACAGCTCCTCTGTTTCTCCATCCAAGGGGATGCCAATATCCACACTGTAGTCTACAGGCTCCCCAGAGCTCAGCCAGGGAATAGGGGTTCGATTGAAAGAAGGCCGGTTGGTGAGGCTCTGGTTGTAGAGAACCAAGGGTTCACTCAGCAGGGGCCCCAGGTCAAACTTGGGCATCTGGAAGGTCATGCGTTTGGATGCCTTCTCATATCCACCATAAGGCATTGCTGTCCTGAAAAGAGGATACATTATTTTATTAAAAACCAGAACAGAAGGAAGAGAGCTTTATCAGTGAGATATTACTGTGTTGAAGATGGGGAAGTCTAGTTTGAGATTACTTCTGCACTCCTATTCTTCTCCATTAGCATTTCATTCCCCCTTCCTGGTTTCCCAAAGATAATAATGAGAAAATTAGTCTAATTGGTACCTGATAGTCTCATAAGTACTTGTGACCCAGACCAGCATTTTAGAGAAAGTAACCCCAAACACTATAGACCCAAGGATCTGAGGCCACCTTAAATTTCAACATAGAACCCCTACTCTACCTGAAGCGGTGGATAGTACATGGTCTAGATGAGAGGAATGAACATTTCCTGAAAAATCCAGGCTCTTCCCTATCGTACTTTGACACAGATCTACTATCCACAGTCTATAGAAGCCCAATTTCAAAAGTACAGATACTTAAGCCTAAGTATAAAGGACTAGAATCATACTGCAGGAACAGTAATGGAATCCTAAGCTAGAATAAAGGAGTCTCAAGAGGACTTTAAATGTGTAATATAGCCCTGGCCGGTTTGGCTCAGCAATTGGAGCGTCGGCCTGCGGTACAGAGAGACCAGGGTTCGGTTCCTGCTAAGGGCACGTACCTCGGTTGCAGTTTGTCCCCGGCCCTGGTTGGTCGTGAGGGTGGCAGCCACTCGATGTGTCCCTTCACATCGATGTTTCTCTCTCTCTCTCTCTTCCTCTCTCTCCCTCCCACTCTATCTGAACAAAAAATGGAAAAATGTCCTCGGGTGAGGATAAAAATAAATAAATAAATAAATAAATAAATAAATAAATAAATAAATAAATGTGTAATATAGCATTTAGAGTCAAAACAACCAAGGCACAGAGTAGGGTGACTTTCCCATGCCCACACAGCTATTAACTATGTGGTCTATGAACTAAAATTCAAATCCTGTCCTGGCCGGTTTGGTTCAGCGGTTAGAGCATCGGCCCACGGACCAATGAGTTGTGGGTTCGATTCTGGTCAAGGGCACGTACCTCAGTTGTGGTTTGTCCCTGGCCCTGGTTGGGTCATGTGACATGGAGGCAACCAGTCAATGTGGCTCTGTCATATCAATATTTCTCTCTGTCTCTGTCTCTCTCCCTCCTTCCTACTGTATCTGATGATACATAAAAAAAAAAAAAAATCCTCGGGTGAGGAATAAAAAAAAACAAAAACAAGTCCTGCCTCCCAGCAAATTTTTCTTTCATCATATTTTGCTGTTTCTCTGAACTAGAGTGAAAAGAGCAAAGGCCTTCAGTCAGGGCCCCCATATTCCTCCCATGCCTCCTGAAACATTTGAACCCAAGTCTTCATCCCAACTAAGAACACATTACCACACACTGGGATGCATCTGGTTTCTTCCCCATCACCCCTACCTGTTGAAGGATTTATACTGGGGGAGTTCAGCTTTGGCCCCATAGGCCAACAGGTCGATGCCAATTTCCACTTTTTGCTGAGGGTCAACCCCCATGGCTCTCTCCCATGGGGAAATATAGGTCTTGAACACAGTGATATGTTTTCCTTCTCCACCTGCCTGGTCTCCTAGCAGCCATGGGAGAGAAAAGTCAAATATTAACAGTTAGTAGCCAAGGGAAGTTAGTCTCACACCCCTGCACAAGGGAAAATGCTGGGGCCAGGGACAAAAGGTATAACATCCTCCTGGTAACTGTATAGGGTTTGTGGAATAATGACAGCCTGGGGTCAAATCTGTGACTTAAACTGAAAAGCCAGAAAGGTGACTGAGAAACAAGGCTTCTGGGTGAAATAGACACATCTCTCTATTCTTCTGGACCCAGAAAACCCGTTAAGATATCTCAGGCCACCCCTTGCCCTTGACACCCAATCTAGGCCTCATTTCTAGGGATATCACTGCCCTAGGGACCAGACGCATTACTCTTGGGTGAGGATACTTGCCAGTCCCTGTATCGCCAACCCCTGCTGTTCCAGCAGCTCCTCCTCTGCCAGTCTGGGCCCCCAGACCACTTGTACCCCCAGATCCAGATCCAGGGCCCTGATGGTGCTGTTGGTCGGAGCCGTAGTGTCCAGCAGAGCTACTTCCCATTGCCTCGCTTCCACCGACACCCTTGCTGTAGGATAATCCCTGACCAGGTGTGCCCAGCTGTCCCCCCACCGTAGGAAGGAACTTCTGGAAGTGATCCTGAAAGAAAAGGACAGAGTAAAGGGAAGGTTAGCATTGGGTATGGAAAATATATAAAGACACAGTTATGTATAGCAAGGAGGATGTGATCAGAGACAATGGCCAACCAGAAGACACTGAATCCTCTAATATTTTTCTCCTCCAATAAATGCATAATAGATAGCCTGACTATGAGGAATTAAACTTTCCATAAGGGGTAGGAACCCCTTGGCTCAGTTCCTCCGATTATGCTTAGGATGGTGACAACTCATTCTCCACACTCCTCTTTCCCATCCTTATCAAGGCAAAGAGGACCAAGACTTCTGCTCAACTAAAATGTGAGACATAGCTTTGGCATGAAGAACCCAGACTTAGTTTGAAGAACTACAGAGATCTCTGTCCCCTCCCCATCCTCATCTTGTCTAGCAGACAGAACTCTTTTCTCTCTCTTTCTCTCTCTCTCCCTTTCTCCTCTTGGTGCTTGTTGGACCAGGACTTCCTGACAGTGAAACTATAGTGGCGACAGGGAAGGGTGACCAAAAGGGCAACACTGAATTCAGCCCCAAAGCCTAAAAATAACCCACCAACTCCTTCAGGAGGCTCTCCTGGCCACCCACCATGAAGATACCCTTGCTCCACCCAGTGTAACCAGACCCAGGAAGGAAGGAGGGCTTTTGGTCTCCTAAAGTTAGATATAACTGGCTCAGCATTTTTACTCTGCTTCTACATAAAGGCCACTCACAGACATCTCTGCTCCTGGCCCCATGTAAGCATCTATTTCCACTATCCCCTGGCTGCCCAGGGAAGGTAGAGGGGGAAAAAAAGAAATGGAGGAGATGCCCTCCTTCTCAGCTGTAACATCTTGTACCTGGCCTCTCTCCAATCCCTACTTCTCTTTCTTTGAAGGATCCTGAGTAGGGAACATAGGCTCTTCAAAGATAGTGTCAGTCCTCACAACTGGGATCTTTAGATGAAAGAATGACTCAAAAAGGAGATGGCTATAAAAATTCACTTAACTTGCCCTGGCTGGTGTGGCTCAGTAGTTAGAGTGTCAACCCTCCCAGTGAAGTGTTATAGGTTTGATCCTCAGCCCCAGTTGGGTCTCGTATAGGAGGCAACCTATTGAGATGTGTTTCTTTCACATTGATGTTTCTCTCTCTCTCTCTCTCTCTCTCTCTCACCCTCTCTCCCTTCCTCCTCCCTCTCTGCCACTCCCTCTAAAAATCAAATCAATGGAAAATATATCCTCAGGTGAGGATTAAAAAAAATTCATTTAACTCTTTCTAGGGTTACCAGATTTAGCAAATAAGATTATAGGACACCAGTTAAAGTTGAATCTCAGACACACAACAAATACTTTTTTAGTATAAATATGGCAGAAATATTGCATGGGACATATTTATATATGAGAGTATCCAATGTATATCTGAAATTCAAATTTAACTGGGTGACCTATATTTTACAATTTAATTTAATTTTTATGTCTCAAATATTTTTTGTGAGAGAAACACATCTCAATATTTTTGGGGACATACTTATACTAAAAAACTATTTATTGTGTATCTAAATGTTAATTTAAGTGTCTTGGGATTTTTAAAATTTTATTTTTAAGTCCAAAATATTGAATGGGACATACTTTAAAAAATTATTTGTGTGGCCCTGGCCAGTTTTGCTTAGCAGTTAGCAGTGGTTCTCAACCTTCCTAATGCCACGACCCTTTAATACAGTTTCTCAAGTTGTGGTGACCCCCATCCGTAAAATTATTTTCGTTGCTACTTCATAACTACTTTTGCTACTGTTATGTCTTAGGTGACCCCTGTGAAAGGGTCGTTCGACCCCCCCAAAGGGATTGTGACCCCCAGGTTGAGAACCGCTGATTAGAGCATCGGCCCACAGACCAATGAGTCGCAGGTTCGATTCTGGTCAAGGGCACCGACAGCAGTTTCAGTTTGTCCCCAGCCCTGGTCAGATCCTGCGGGAGGCAACCAGTTGATGTGTCTCTCTCACTTCGATGTTTTCTCTCCCTCTCTCCCTCTCCCCCTCTCCCTCTCTCTTCCTCCCTCCCACTCTATCTGATAAATGGGAAAATATCCTCAGGTGAGGATTTAAAAAAGAATGTTTGTGTGTATCTCAACTTGAAAACACAGAGCTGGGCTTCCTGTGTTTTTTGTTTTGTTTTTGCTTCCTGTGTTTTATCTGGTAATCCTATCTTTAACACTTACCCATTCTGGGAAGGTATTTTCTCCTTGAGGGCATGGTACTCCCCACCCCCTTCACTAGCTCTAAGATAATGACTGAGTTTCAGAGGTGGACTGTACCTCACCCTGGAGTTCTCTATATCTGGGTGTTTTAATGGGCTGTTAACTTTGCAGGAAGGGGGGGGGGGTTGGTGGTATTTGGGAGATTTGGGGCCTACCAAAAAGCTGTCAGAAAGGGCACTAGGCTTTGAGAGTAGTAAAGTTCCGAACTCACCATTGAGCTGTCAGAGAAGACATCAGGGTGGTTTTCATAGATAAATTTCTCCACCCGCATCTGCCGCAGTTTGAACATCTTAGAGCCCCGGTTAGTGAGCAGTGACAGCTCCTCCAACATCACATCCCTGGGGACACTGATCTTCTTGCCCAGGTTCAGGCCCGAGCTCTCCTGTCCACCTTTTAGGGAGGTGGGGAGGAAGAGGCAAGGGAAAGAGGAAAGTAGGGTTTTCTGGGCTCAGACTGCAGATGCCATCCATAACTATATTTCCCAGCAGAGATTGCTAAGGGAAGCAGATGCTGTCTGTGATGTCTGATTAAATTCTGTCTAGTTTGTGAGGGATTTTGATTTCCTGGTTTTGAAGTTGGAGAGACTGCATGAGAACTGAGGTACAGAGTGGAGATAGTGGAAATACTAGAGTAGAGAGAATGAATGGGGTCAAAGGGACATGGGCATGGGCAAAAGAAGTAAAGTACATTATAGAATTGGAAGCCACTGGGGAAGCTGTAGCCTGGGGAAATGCCCAAAGGCCAACACAGTGTGGAGTTGGTCACCTCTTAGTATAGACTCCTGCCTTAACTCCTTTCCCTACTCTTCCCCTCAGTGAATTCTGGCTGCAAATAGCCTGTGCAATTTTACATTTTAGATACCTACACAGGCTCCCTAGTTTTGACGAAAGAAGCAAGGAGATTAACCATTTATTGAGACCTAACTCTATGCCACTCTTCATCATATATTTTCTTCCTTAAACACATTTCACTGACCTGTGGGTCCCATTGTCCTGGACCTACGCTGGGTAATAGGTCTCAGATTACAAGGTGAAAAGGGTGGAAGGGTGAATAGTCAGTGGTTGAATACTTTCTCCTGCCCCACCGCCACCATCCCTTACCCCACCCTACCCCTGAATTACTCTTGTCTCTTTACCCTAAGACATATATAACCTTATGATATTTCTGGGATTTTTGGACCAGAGATACTCTTAATAAGAAGCCCCATACTAAGCAGGTGCAAACATGCCATACCTCCAGTGAGTTCCATGATCAGCTTGCTGGATTTCCTCTTTTTATTGGGGGCTGGGGTTCCTGAGAGCGGCATTGTGGAGGTGGATTCAACCTGGATAGGGTGGGAAGGGGGAGTTGAAAGATGAACAGGGATTGGGAAGGGTGACTGTCTACAGTAAGGCAGTACTGCTTAACCTAGAGTTAAGGGCTTCAGGGAGCAAAATTTCATAGATTTTTCAAAGAAATATATATTCCCTCAAATGGTGAAAACTCATTGCTTTAGGGCCTCTCTTTTCTTGAGAGGCAGGGCAGAAACTATAGATGCACCCTCTGTCCCTACCTTCTCCCAACCTCTTTTCAGCTGTTTTACAAAGTACTGGTGCATGCATTAGGAACACAGTGTGTGTTGTGGGGCAGGAGCTAAAACAAACAACACACAGGCAGGACAATGCACCCAGGTTTTATTGGCATGATTTGAAAATTTTATTTGCATGGGGATCTCAAATTGGGGCTGCCATCTCAAGCTCTGGTCTCTCCCCAGTCTTCCCCAGTCCTCACGGGGGAAGAAAAATGTTCTGCCAGGGTTGAGTAGAGCCAGCCAAAAACATTCTCCATAGGAAGGAGAGGTTGTTGCTCCACCATTGGGCCAGCTGGAATGTGGCCTGGGAGGTCACAGCAGTGCTCCCTGCTTCTTTTCAGTCACTCCTACCCCAGACCCCAGAACTGGAGTACAGTGGGGGTGGGGTTGTCAGGAGACATTTGAACCTTGATGCATGTCAACTCAGCTGTATCATAGCAGTGGGAAATTGAGGGAGGACAGGAACATAATAATAGCGTCTGGCAGTGAAGGAGGACAAGCTGGGAAAGATACAGACTTCAGCTCCTCAACAGATGTTGGCAATCAGCAAAAATGCTGTCTTCTGCTGAGTCCTGTCTCACAACACATCTGCAATTCTACTAACATAGTGGGATCTACTGAGGTCAGGGTCCAGGAACTGCTAAATGGACTTTCCGTGTACCTCTCAGGCTCAACGAGGTTCTTTTCTTTCCTCCAGCCTGTTAGAACCCCTTCTCATTCCTCCAGTGCCCTCCCCCAATATCTCTATTTTCCCCACCCTCCTGGGCCCCTCTCCTTCCAACTCTGTGTGGCTCCCCTGAACTGGACAACTAGGAGCTGAGCATAGACGAGTGAGGGGGACAACTACCCCAGGATCAAGGGTCACTATTGCACACACAGACACAATAGTCAATAGAATGGGCTCCAGCCTCTCTGGTCATAGAGTTGGAGACTTACCAGTTATTTAGGTGGTGGTCAGCTCTCCCTGGGGTCCAGCAGCTTTGGAGGACTGAGCTGCTGTGACCGGAGAACCCGAGCTGGGCAGGCGTGGGGGCAGCACTGGCAGTGGGGGAGGGAGGGTGGTTATTAATAGAGATGATGAGTACAAGCAGCTCAAATGGCACAGGGGGTACTGAGACCCTGGAACCAAGATCCCGCCCTCCTTGCCCAGAGGCTCAGGAATGAAGGAAGGGCCTTTGGGATTCTCCCACTAAGCTGTCTGAGCCAGAGATCAATCTGCCCAAGGACTCCCTTTTGCTTGACAGACATCTAAAGTCTGAGATTCAAAGAAGCATTCAGGGAGAAATTGAAAACTGAGAAGGAGAGAGGAGGCAGGAAGCAAGTGGTAGATAGGAATTCAGAGTGGGAGAACAAGAACCTGGAGAACATGTCCAGAGAGCCACATGGAGCCAATCTAGACCACAGCTGGAAGGACATGTGGATGCATTTTGGGGGTGGGAAGGCTTAAGGTGCTATTTTGGGGAAAGACAAGTCTCTTAACAATGGAACTAGTCTTTGAAAGTTCCTGGATGGGTTGATCTTTCCTCTGGGAGGGCCAGATCTTAGCAAATTAAGGGACTGAATTAACCAAACCCAGTGTTTCCTAAGCTATAAGGGAAGATGTGGAGAAGACTTGACCAATTTCTGTTTTTCACCTCTATTTGCTGTTGGGGTGCTCAGTTCAGCCTACTCTGCAGGATAGATGTTGATGTCTCCCAGAGAAGTGCATGAAGGCTTCTGATCTGCCAAGGCCTTACTCTCTGAGATTCCTACCTGGGCTTTCTTCAAAGGAACACACCCCACCACAGGATCTGGACTGTCCCATTTGCATTGTTCCAGAGGAACCTCTGGGCAGGGGCACTAGCTGGAAAGCCCCTCGTGAGAAGCCTGTCATTTGCCCAGCCCTTTCCTCAGTAGCTCCATGAACACTCTGGATCCTCCTCTATTTTCTTCTTAGGTTCTGGAACCACTGTATTGTGGCTGCTTTAAGAAGTGGTTTTTGTAGCTCCCAGAATACCCCCCTGTGCCTCTGTGAGCTCTCTACTCTTCCTGACCATGCCCTTTTCCCATCCTAAACTTTTCAGTTTCAAGCTAGGGGCTGAAAGGGCTTCCAGCCCCTTGTAGTTAGCTTCTTCCCAGACCAGTTTAGCCTCTAGATCCCTCATCTTTTGTCATTCTTTTCCATTTCCTCCCAACCCAAAGAAGCAATTAGGAAAAAAATAAAATAAAAGCATCAATAGCAAACAGTGATTTCATCATCACTACCATCCTCCCCTCAAAAACAAAAACAGCTCTAGCTGGTTTGGCTCAGCGGTTAGAGCATCGGCATGTGGTCCAGAGAGACCCAGATTCGGTTCCCGTTAAGGGCATGTGCCACTGTTGTGGTTTGTCCCTGACCCTGGTTGGGTTGTGTGGGTGGCAGCCACTCGGTGTATCTCTCTCATGTCGATGTTTCTCTCTCTCTCTCTCCCTCCTACTCTATCTGAACAAAAAATGGAAAAATGTCTTCAGGTGAGTATTAAAAAAAAAATCAAAATTTTGGGTTCCTGTGATTGAGTATCTGAAACTACCAGGCAGGTGAAAATACACTATTTTGCCTATGTTCACTGGGCCCTTTGGAATTCTGAGACTGTACTACTATGTAGCATCTGGGTTATTGGCACAAATATGCCCCCTGCTGGCAAAATTGGAGCAATGGTATTTTCCTTCTCAGAAGTCTTTAATTCTAGTTTGCCTCTTGTACCTTCTCTTTATTAGTCTCAATACACACAATCCACTTTCTCTGTTGTTCTTCCCTCTCCCACCCCACCTTCACCTCCAGCTACTGTTTTCCCATGGAAACATAGTTGCTTCATCCAGGGAGCTAGGAAATGTTGATGGCAAAAAGGCTCAGAAGGCCTTTCCAACTTCTCTTAGTTCTGTAAACTGAGTCCTAGCTTGGGAGGTATGGAGCAGAAGATTGAAAGAGGGAGAATCTGTGTGGATGAGGAATGGAGGAAAGGGAACCAAGGGGAGTGGTGGAAGTGGCTAAATAGAAATGGGACAGAATTGGTAGAGAAGAGCAAGAGACCAAGGGTAAAGGGCAAAAGAGTGAAAAATAGGAGGGCAGGAATGGAGAAAGAGATCAGGAATCAAGAGATTAGAACAGGGAAATGAGTTAGAGATGATTAAGGGGAGATCAGGATTTTGGTATAAACCTAGAAAAAATGACAGCAACAGAAGGTGTGGGGTATAAGTTTATTCTTGTGCACAAACAGAAGTACTGTGACTCACACCCAATATGCAAAGGAAATGATCAATTTCCAGATCAAGCAGCAAATGTGACCATTGGTAGTCATGGTGAGAGGGGAGTCTACACTCCTCTAGGATGAGAGATCAGGACCTGAAGCTGGAAAGGAAGCTGGAAAGGAACAGGAGCTTGGGATTGAGGGATGGGTAGGACTGAAAAGCATGTTTCCTTGCCCTTTCCCAGGTAGTCAGGACAAGATGCAGAAGACAGAGAGACAGACTCAAAGGAGGTAGCACAGATATCAACTGTTTTTTCCCTCAACACTCAGCATATATTCTCACATCCCCCCACCATCATCCACTTCACTCTAACAAATACATTCTTCTCCATCACATTTCCCTCAAACCTCCTCTTGCACACAGTTGGTTTCTTGTTACCTAACCTTACTCTCTGCCAACACTGCATTCTAACTCTCTCTCACCATGCTCCTCTGTGACTCAATCAATTTCATTCATTTCTGCTCTGCTCCTGGTTCTGCCTCACTTTCCATACCATGGCTCTTTTCTTTCTGTCTTAGGTTTATGAGGAAATAAAGCCAATACTTTGTTCATTCTTAGAGCAAAATTTTCTTTTTGTTCATTTCTTGGGTGCTTGTTGATCAGCATGGACCCCTCAAGTTTCTAAGTGTCTGAAATCCTGAGGAATAGAATTCTTAGTTTGATTTCTGATCTAGCTGGTATAACTCAGCCCATACAAACTGCCTTGGTCCTTCAAGTCTTCTCATATTCCATAAATTTCACAATATGCTGTATATAACTCTAGTGAATCTCTTTCTCCGCACTAGACTATCCATGTGGGGTTATCTCACCCTACTTTCATTAGCGCAAGGGTGAGACCCACATTGGGTCTTTATTTAGATCTCTCTTATTCTTGCCTCGGACAGAAGAGCACATCTGTGCACAAGCACACACACTGGCACACGCACACACACTGGCACACACATACAGACACGCACACGCCTAGGTATATGCCAGCCAAGTTTGGGAAAGGTGAGAAGTAGAGAGTAACTTAGTGCAAACAAGGATCAATTTAGTTCCTTTGCTGCCTTCTTGCTTGAGCTCTCAGTGGTAGCTTCTCTGTGTAGCTTCTCAGTGACTGTTATGAGACCCACAAAGAAAAGAACAAAGAGAAATAAAGACCAGTAGGGAAATATGGGAGGAGAGACCTAGAGATAGAGACAGAGATCCAGGCAAGAGACTACAGACAAAAAGAAGCACAAATACCAAAGCAGAGATACCAGGTTGGAAAGCAGCAGGGAGGTTGGGAGCTGGGGGTGGGGTGGGGAAGTGTGTGTGTGGGGAGGGTGATACCAACTCCAAAATTATTTCTGGCAGGAGGGAATTTAGCTTCCAGATACTTGAGAGAAGGGGCGGATTGGGTAGGAGAAGCAACTTTAGGAACTGGATGTTCCACCTCTCCTTGGTCCTGGGAGCTGTGCCCTTCTCAGTGGTGGCCTGTCCCAGGCCTCCACACATGAGCCTGCAATCCCGTTCTGGTTGCTGAAAACCGGGGCCTGGCTACCTGGAAGCCACAGGAGCTGGGGGAGGCTTCAAGACCCCTGGGAGATCCTGGAGGAGGGGCTGGGCTAAGGACAGGGCCCGAGGCCAGTTCCGCCCTCCAGATGGGCTCATCCAATGTAGTGGCTGCTCGGGGGGCAAGCACAGTGGGGGCCAGGGGCTCTGCGGTGGGCTGGGGTACTGGAGTGGAAAATCGACGGATCTCCTGGATTCGCGCAGTTTTGGGGGGCCCTGCGGGGGTGGGGCCAGGAGTCTGGGGAACCTCATCAAAACAGAACATGGCAGTTTTAAGTTGGTAAGGCTGGTGCCGCATGAAATCCAGAGCCTTGATGCCCTGCTTGGGGGTTGCCCGCGGCCCCTGGGATTGGGCCTTATTAGGGAGAGTTCGGGCAGCTTGGGGGAAAAAGGGTGAGAGCAGTGGGTTGTAAGCAATAGGAGGCGGAGCACGGATGTTGGGTGAATATTTCCAGGAAGGGGGCAGTGAGGGAGTAGGAGAAGGGCTTCGGGGCTGATGGACAACGCCAGGATTAGGTGTAGCTTCCACTACGTACCTATCTGCTCGGCTTTGCCGCTTGGCAAATAGTTCCCCACCCCTGCCTTGAAGCCTTGGTGGCTCAGGGATTCCAGCAGAAGGGGTTGCCCCATTCACTAGCCCATCAGGGAACCCTCGAGATGGGGGTTTAGGAGCCACTGGGGGTGGAGTCTTAGGAGTCATAGGGGGCGGGGTCTTGGGAGCCATTGGAGGCGGGGTTTTAGGTGTCACGTGAGGAGGGGTCTTGTAACTCCTGCCCCCTGGTGGCTGCATGAAGTTGCAGGCTTCAGCCCCGAGGCTCAGAGCATCCTCTTCTGGACCAGATTCAGCACCCCCGGACCGGGGTTTTTCATCCAGATTCTGCACCAGCGATAGCAGCTCGGGGTTGGGCGAGTTCTTCGTCTCCTCGTTCCCCGGCCGGAACATCTGCTTTCGGGTCCCCCGACGCCGGGCCTCCTGGAGGATGCCAGTGCGAGCAGCTGGCACAGAGATGCGCTGCTCCCGAGCGCTGGGGGCTTCGGGGGCCGCGGGGCCTGGGGCCGGCGCCTCTAAGCGCGCAGCGGGTCGCAGAGGCGCCGAGAGGAAGATAGAAGCGGTGGAGGTCATGGCAGCTGTGCTAGAGGGAGCGGGGGGCTCTGGGGCCCCGCCTGGCGTAACAGGACGATTGGGGGCTGGGATATACAGGGAGCTGGTGGCCGTCACGGGGCCTGAAGAGCGTGGGGTGCTGGGGGAACTGGAGGCTGACAGGTGACTGAGAACCCCTGAGGTGAAACTGGGCAAAGGGGTGGGCCCCTGAGGAGAGGACTGGAATGGTGGTGGGGCGGGGCTGAGGCCTCCCACGCTTTCATTCACCCTCTTGGGGGCCAGGGGCCGGAAAATAACCGAGGTGGTACCTGGCCGCTGCCCCTGTAAGCCCGGGGTAAAGGGCCTGGCTGACCGGTTAAAGATGCTTGGAGCTGGGGTAGGGGCCCCACCGCCTGGGAGGAAGGGTGTGCGGCTGGCTAAAGGGCCTGGCGACTGGGGGAGCACTGCCGTCTCCGGCGGAGCACTCTGGGCCCGAGGTGGTGACTGCAGGCCCCCCTCGATGGGCATGGCTGCTGGACCATCCTGGGCCAGCTTCTGGGTGCTGGAGGCTGCGCGCTGGCGCTGCTGTTCAAAGAGCTGGACCCCTCTCCCCGAGGCCTCACTCAGCTGCCCTCCCGACCTCGAGCCCTGGCCCTCTGCTGCGCCTGAGCCCGGTCTGGCCAGCTCCATGTCCAGATAGGGGCTGTCCCAGTCGGACTGGTTGGTGAGGCTGCGGGCGTCGGAGAAGACCTCTTCGTCCAGCTCTGATTCGCTCGTTGGAGGGACCCCGTCTTCCTCCTCAGCGCCTGTCCCAGCCGCAGACCCAAAGCTCACGAGGGTGTATTTCTTGGCTCTCTGCCGTCTTTTCTTAAACATAAGCACCCCCTTGGAGTGGGGGTTGGGGGCTGCAGTTAGCAGGGATGCAATCGTCCGGCATTTGGTCTTGGCCTCCTTCACACTCTTCTCTTGAAGGCTCTCTGCCCGTTGCAGTTCTGAGGAGGCCAGGAGGGGAAAAGCTCAGTAAGCCTATTTCCCAAGGCTTTCACCCCCACCCCAACCTGTTCCCTCAGCCCTCCCACCTCTTTTCACTAGCCTGAGGCACAACGTCTCCTGCCTGTGTCAAAGTCCTCTGACTTGGGGGCAGATTGGAGGGTGAAAGGTGAAATCAAGGACAGTTAAAAGGAAGGCAGCTTCTAGTTGGCTGTCCCGACACCACTCTGACCACAGCTCTCCTATCCTCTCCTTCCTCTGCTCTGCTCCTATCTTCCCAGAGATGTGCTCTTACCCACCCCACACACATTCCTCCACTGCCTCCCTCCATTCCTGGCTGACAATGCAGGGGTAAGGTTAAGAGGGGTCACTTCCCAGGCAGAAAGATAAGGCAGGGCCCAGGGAGAGAAAAGATGAGAAGGAAGACTTCTCTCACCACAGAGACTACATCAGGGCACTTCTCAGAAAGTTTGGGGCTTTCTGATAAGGACACAAAGGACCCTTAGCAACAAGGATCTTCATTCCTAATTCCATCCTCATTGTGCAGTCCACAGCACATACATTCATAGAAATGACCCCCACCACACATTTCAACAAGAATATGGGGCTAGTAAAAGCCTGTAGTGGGCATTTTTCTCAGGTACTTTTCTTATATATACCCTCGTTCACACATGTATTTACACAAAAATACATAGAGTCACTTGAATATATTCACACACGTGCACACTCTAGGTAGCCCTTCTTCCCAGAGTTGCCCCTGCAGAGGTCCTTTTCCTAACAGTTTGAACAGTTTTAGAGCTGATATTGGCCTTCCAACTGCCAGGGCATTCTGTGCCTCACACCCCTGCTACTCACAGCCACGGATAGCATCAGATCCAAGATGTGGGAAAAGCAAAGTGCTGCTTTCCAAGGCAATCCTCCAAATCTTTAGGATATCTCAAGGTCACTGGTTAAATATATTCACCTTTCCCCCCAGCTGAGTGTGGGAGTGGGTTGTCTTCTTTAGGGGTCAGTCTTCTAGGTAGAGAGCCCAGGGAACCACTACCAGGCAGGCAAGATAGGATTATGTACTAAGGGGAGGCAGGGCAGGGCTTCCCATGCCATGTGGGACCTGGGAGGTGGGGCCAGGAAATGGGAGAGGCTGCCCTGCTGAAGGGACCCTGCCTTGGACTCTGAGCCATGATCCCCAGTTCCTCCTGTAAAATTCTTGAAATTCCATCTACTTTTACTCAAGATACCAAGCTGCTTTCTAATTAGGGCTCTCACTGTACCCATTCCAATGTTTATACGACGGAATAGAACTATGAATGAGAGATAGACATTGGAGTCAGAGTTCATCTTAGGGTTTTGGTTTTGGGGAGAGTTACTTCACTTCATTGAAGTTCAGTTTCCTCATCTGTAAATGAGAATGATAATAGTTACCTCATAGGGTTGCTATGAGGATTAAGTGAGCTAATGTAGATAAATTTAGCATTTAACAGTAGCCATAAGTTCCACTGTGAGTAACTATTACTATCAAAGCTTTTTTTGACACTAGCTACATCTGTATAGAGATATTTTCTTGTCCACACATATTTTCTCCCACAGACTCCCACATACAGGCCTTAATATATTCATAGATTATTCACACGTCTCTCTCATACACACACTCTCCCCTTGAGTTTTCTATAGCTCATGTGGTCACAAACCCCTTTGACATGTGACCATAGCATTAGCCTACTATGAGAAAGGGGTTGCGAAACTTTCCTTAGAAAAGAAGAAATAGGAAGGCAAAAAGGAGGAATAGAGAAGGGAGTAAGACCTTTCCCAAAGACCTCCCTTCCTAAACTGTTGATGTATTCCCCTGCATTCTAGATCCCAGAACTCTCTTAGCTATGGAAGGGTAGTACCTGCATAGAATGGGTCCTGGAGCTCAGGAACTGTGCCTGGGGCTTTGTTGGAGCTGGCTTGGCTGAGGGGCTCTTGGCTGAGGGGCTCAACGGTCTCCATGCTGAGAAAGGCAGTGTTGGCTGGAGCAGGACCAGCTTGAGCCACCCCCCATGCCTTTTAAAGCCCCTTTGTCTTGTCCCTAGAGCTGGCAGCTGAATGAGCTCACTATGCTATTTTTGGAGCCTGTCCCCCTCCCTTCTCTGGCCTGCTCCACAAGCCCTGGTGTGATAGACGTGGGCACCTGCCTACCCTTCCCCCCACTCCACCCCTCTGGACAATGATGGCTGCTTCACTAAAAATATCCCTAAGCCACTAACTACAGTCTTACCCAGCAAGATGAGAAGGGAGAGGGTGCTAAAATGAGGATTAGGGATAAGCATGGGATCCTGGGCATGCATCTGGAATTTCTTTGTGGTATATTGGACATTCTCAGGGATGTCAGACTCTAAACTGTCATGTCCTTAGCCTCTAATCCTGACTTAGAGACACAAAATTCTATGGATCAGGAATCAGAATGGTGGAAGGGAGGACTGAGAGAGATGAGAACTAGAGGGGTAATCCTGAGATTTCCAAGGTGACAAGGAAGGGCTCTGGGAGAGGCATGGGAGGCATAGAACAAGGAGAAATTTCACTCTTAGAACTTATTCTGTAGCTCACATCAAAAATAGAAGAAAGCTTGCCCAGCCAGTGTGGCTCAGTGGATTGAGCATCATCCCATGGACTGAGAGGTCCTGGTTCAATTCCTGGTCAGGGCACATGCCCAGGTTGCGGGCTTGATCGATGTCTCTCTCTCACATCAATGATTTTATCTCTCTCACCCTTCCTCTCTCTCTAGAAAAATAAATAAAAACATATTTTAAAAAATAGAAGAAAGCTTGAGATAAGTGGAATTGTTTTTTTCTGCCCAGGCCTACATTCTTGCCTGAGATAAAGAGCTGAAGATCCCTTCCTTTACCACTTCCTAGGGACTCATGACCATCCCGTAGGCTTACAGTCCCCAGGAATCCTAACTGAACTTACAAATGTCAAAGGTAGCTCTGATTCTATGCCTGCAATTACTGAAGAGCCCCAGGAGCTATGCCCTGCTTTAAAATACTTCCCTGCCCTGTATCTGGCACCTAGAAAAATTATAGCAATGACAACAAGCAAACCCTTCATTAATTCATGTCCCTTTCCAACTTCCCTACTTACCCTGTTCCTGGGTTGGGTTGAACCACTTGTACCTTTTTGCCACACTAGTTCAAACAGCACAAATAATGGGGACCATGCAAATAATTATTTTCCTCTCATCCTCATCACTCTTCTCCACTTATTCCCAAGACTATATCCAAGGGAAGCATAAGGTAGGTTATAAAGGGGTAGATTTAGGGCTCAGATTAAAAGATCCTGGCTAGGGAAAAAAGGTTCAGGCACTCACTGGCTTGCTTGGCCTTCTGGGTATAGGTGGTAGTAAGATCTTCTGCCACTGGGTGGGAAACAGGCCCCACCATAGGGATGAGATGAGGGCCAGGCCGGAGGGGACCATGGGGCAACAGCAGAGCCTCGGCCAGGGGTGGCTTAAGGGTTGCCCCATTCTCCCAAGATGGGGAGCTCACACGGCTGTCACCCTGGTTGGAAGGACCAGGGACAGCAGGTGCCGGCTCTGCAGGGCTGTCAGATAGGTAGACCTCATCAGGTGGGGCTCCTGGAGGGGTGGGCCTTGTGGGGCCACGGCGGCGGGGTCGGCGGGGCTTCTCCTGGGTGGCAGGGCCATCAGCATCACTGTCTGTTTCTCCGTAGTAAGCCTCACTGTCAGGGGGTGAGAGGAGGCTTCCAGGCTGAAGAGGCTGGGGAACTGGAGCACCAGGGGGCTCAGGACTCAGCGGAGATAAGGGTGACAGCACCTGAAGATCACCAGGGGATGAAGATCGCAAAGGCCCTTCATCCTCTACCCTGGGAAAGATGAAAGAACTTGAAAAATAGGCTGGATGACTGACAGCTAGAGAGATCTGGAGGGGATGGGAGAAGGAGGTAAGGGGAGAAAGGAGATAAAGGTGGAATGCGCTGGGAAGAGTAGAGATCTGAAGACAAATTGGGAGGCAAATGTGCTCGGAGGACTGTGAGTGGAAATGGGCTTTCAGGGAGATGTGATGATGAGATAGGCAAAAGGTTGAAGAAGGCCCACACACTCAGATACCCACTTGACATCCCATCCCTTAATTACAGATGCATTCAAGCTCTTTGGGAGATCTACGCTAACATCTATACTCCAGTACTAACTCACACACAGAAATAGGCACTTGTTAGTTGCTGAAGCCAGGCCAGTAAGATAGAGCTGAGTCAGGCAGTGGGAACCCTGGACCAGGGGGACAGGGTGGGTTGGATTGGCAGTGGTCCATACCTCCGCACAGTGAGGACAAGTTGATTCCCTGAGGCATCGATGAGGCTCATGGCACTGGCATGAGAGAGACTGATGCAGGAGACCCCATTGATGGCCAACAGCTGGTCTCTCTCTCGGAGTCCTGCTCTGCCAGCTTGGCTCCGTCTTCGGATCTGAGAAGGTGTTGGAGGAGAGACTGTAGGTGAGGTAGGGCTCCAAGGGGGAGGACAATGAAAGGAGTTAGGACAGGAAGGACCCATATGTGGGAGGGATTTTACTTTGCCAGGTTAGAAAGAGTGGAGAGGGGTATGGGACTGCAGTTAAGGGGGCCTATCTAGAGGGAAGAAGGTGCAGAGTGGAGGGAATAATACATTATATGAGGGGAAATAGGATAATCACCAAATGAGAGAATTAGAGGTGGGGGGCAGGAACTAGAAATGATGGTTTTCTAAGTTTTCCTCTAAGAGCAACAACTATCCTAGCCAATAGTTCTCTCCTAGGCCTTGGAATCCCAGGCATAATTATCTACATAGTCAAAATTTTAGAATAGTATTTCAGATTGGAGGGAGTCCTGCAGATTCTGGGAGACTGTGATTGTGTGTGTATATGTGTGCTATGGTGGCCATCATTTATTGAGTACTTACTAAATGTTAGGCATGGTGCTAAGCACTCTACATGCATTATTGCATTTAATCCTTAGAACAGTTCTATTAAGTAGGTATTATTATTATCCACATTTTACAGTTGAGAAAATTAAGCCTGTATGGTGAAACCAAAAGGGTAACAACGTCATCTGACAAGCCAGATCTTGAAATTACCCTCTTAGCACACACACTCAAAAAGGTCTTGCCTAGTGAGAAAGTGGCGTAGGAAAAGAGGAGCACTGAAGACATGGGCAGAGCAGGGCAGGGCAGGGCAGGGCTAGACTAAGCTGGGCAAGACAGCCTCAGCTCATCACATATCAGTTAGGGAGAAATTAGAACCTTTCCTACATTCCTGGAGTTTGGGGTAGAGGCACAGACCCAGGAGAGCAAAGACTGGATGGTCAGACCTGGGCCTCTGCTGCTATAATGTTGCAGAAAACTGAGACAGAGTCTTTCTTTTACTTTGCTACCAGAAACCAGGAATTCTCCTTTCTAATAGCCCCCATCCCCACAAGTAGCCTGTGCTCAGACACTATTCCCTACACCAAACTTTAGCATGCTTCCCTGCCCCCCCCACTCCTCTTCTTTACAGCCTCCCACTTCTCCCCCCAGAGACCACCACATGACTCTCCCCAGGTTCCCTTGGGTTCCCCCTTTCCCTGAAACCTCAGTATAGGGGCTCTCCCTTACCTTGGACACCTGTAAGGGTTTCCTCTGCTCGGCCCCCCCCTGAAGTCGGAAGCCCCAGGGGGCTCCCCCTGACAGTGTGACCAGCACCTCCTTCTCAGCACCCATTGCTCAGGTTGGCCTATGGCCCTTGAAGTTTGGACAGTGTCCCAAGGAAAGAAATCAAGGTGCTGGTACCCCGTCCGGCCTGTCTGTCTGGCTGTCCTGCTGCTGCTGCCCCAGCCTCCCCCCCACACACACACCACACACCACAGGCAGGCAACTTGGCCCTGGGATCAGTCCAGTCCAGCACACGTGTCCTGTCAATCGGAGTTGTGCTCAAAATAGTTGCCCGCTGTACTCCTCTCCCTCCCCCAGCTGTATTACTTCCACAGCTAATTATAGTAAAAACTTCTGCCCTCCCCTGTCCCCCATTCTCCTGCAGGAGCCTTTTACTCAGGACTCAGAGTACTAGCTTTATAACTCATGTACACGCTTTCAGGTACTGTGGCTTCCCTGATAGGATAATAGACTAATTCCAGCTGCTTTCTTCCAAAGCTCATTTCAAAGTAACAGCGCAGGGACTTCAGTTCTAGACCAAGGAATGGTTGGGTTTGTCCCACAAGTTCTCAAGCTCTCCAGAAAAGAATGCTTCTTCCTGCATGAATTTACTACTAATCAAAATGGAGATCTATATTCCAATGCAGTGCTGGGTGCAATTTAGAAAAATTATAATCAGCCTTGCCCCAGTTGAACTGTTGCCTGTTCCATAAAGCTTTTTCTGTTCATCTCCTGACTTCCTACTTATACAATAGGCCTTTCTTCCTCTGGGCTACCTATGTATTAACATTTCTATTGTTGTATTTCTCAGCCTGTATTATAGTTGTTTATATGCCTGTCTCCCTCTTAGATTGAGAGAAATTTGAAGGCAAGGACTGTATGCAACAGCCAATCAACAGCCCACAGAACAATGATGATGTAAATAGTGCTCAGCAAATGTTTGCTAAATTAAATTACCTCTTACAATAATACATAGGTGGGCCCTGGCCAGTTTGGCTCAGCGGTTAGAGCGTCGGCCTGCGGTCCGGAGAGACTCGGGTTCGGTTCCCGCTAAGGGCACGTACTTCGGTTGCAGTTTGTCCCCGGCCCTGGTTGGTCGTGCGGGTGGCAGCCACTCGATGTGTCCCTTCACGTCAATGTTTCTCACTCTCTCTCCCTTCCTCTCTCTCCCTCCCACTCTATCTGTACAAAAAATGAAAAAAAAAAAAAAATCCTTGGGTGAGGATAAAAAAAAAAAAATACATAGGTGGTCATGGAAAGGTGAATGGAATACAGGTAGGTGTGCATAAACATGCCAACCCATGTTAATAATAAAATTCCTACTTATTTTTAGGTTTCCATTACATGAATATGCCCTATGTTAAGAGATCTCTGTTATAAAACATAACATTATGGTGCTGTAATTATCAAAAGCTATAGTGTTCCCTGAATCACTATTCTCCTGGTGTGTTAAATACTGTTTGCCTTGGTATATGTAGTCATAGAAAACACTTGGGATACAGAATCAGATCTGGATTTGGATTCTTTTTCCATCACTTATTAGCTGAGTGACCTTGGGCAATTACTGGACCTCATCAATAAAAAGAGTATCTAAATATTCATTTAGTAGTCAGACATTTTTTAAGTGTTAGCTGCATGTAAGCCATTGTGCTATATCAGTGGCTTTCAGTCAACCCTCAGTGCACATTAGATTCACCTGGAAAACTTTTAAAGCTACTGCCTCCCTAAAATAAGACAGCATATAGAGCCCTGGCCGGTTTGGCTCGGCGGTTAGAGCATCCGCCTGCGGTCCGGAGAGACCCGGGTTCGGTTCCCGCTAAGGGCATGTACCTCGGTTGCGGTTTGTCCCCGGTCCTGGTTGGTCGTGCGGGTGGCAGCCACTCGATGTGTCCCTTTCACATCGATGTTTCCCTCTCTCTCTCTTCCTCTCTCTCCCTCCTACTCTGTCTGTACAAAAAATGGAAAAATGTCCTCGGATGAGGATTAAAAAAAAAAAAAAAAAAAAAAAAAGACAGCATATAGAATTAGATGATTGTATAATGAAATAATCTATCAGTGTGAATATATATATTTAATTCTTAGGCCTCAGCCTTAGGGATTCTGATTTTATTGGTCTGGTACCTGGTATTGCCATTTAAAAAAAGCACCATAGATGATTCCAATGTGCAGCCAAGATTGAGAACCAAAGTGGGGATACAGACAGCAATAAAATACAACACATCGGCCCCTAGCAGGAAACTGAATTTAGGCTCTACCACTTACTAGGAGTGCAACCTTAAGCAAGACAGAGGATACCAACTTTCCTGTGCTGATATGAGTTAAATGGGATAAATTATGTAAAAATGCTTAGCAAAGGTCCCAGTCTAGGGTGCCTTTGTGAAAGTTACTAACCTAGACTAGTGGGTCTCAATCTTCAGTGTGGGAGAGGAATCATCTGGAGAGATTGCTGAACCATAGCTTGCTGGGCCTACCTCCAGAATTTCTGATTCAGTATGTCTAGGGTGGATCTGAGATTTGTAGTTCTAACAGGTTCTCAGGTGATACTGATACCATTGATCCTAGGATCAAACTTTGAGCACCACTGACCTTGACTATAAACTCCTGAGGACAGGAACAATCTGCTCATTTACTAAAGCATGTTCAATGACTAACATAGCTTCCAGCACAGACTACAAGTGTGACTTTTTCCAATAAATGGACCACTCTGTGCCTCACAATAACTAATATTTGCTGTCAACAATATGAGAGAGCCCTGGCCGGTTTGGCTCAGCGGTTAGAGTGTTGGCCTGCGGTCCAGAGAGACCCGGGTTCGGTTCCCACTAAGGGCACGTATCTCGGTTGCAGTTTGTCCCCGGACCTGGTTGGGTTGTGTGGGTGGCAACCACTTGATGTGTCCCTTTCACGTTGATGTTTCTCTCTCTCTCTCTCCCCCCCTCCCACTCTATCTGAACAAAATATCGAAAAATGTCCTCGGGTGAGGATAAAAAAACAAACAAAAAAAACAATGCGAGAGAAAAAGTTTTGTGAACTACTGTGTTCCCAGAAACAAGAACATGGCTTGGCATACAGCAGTGCTCAAAGATAATTATTAAATGAATAAATATTATTGAAAGGATTAAATGAGGTCATGTATATTCGTAAAAATTGTACAAATATTAGCTACAATTATTGTTACTCATTAGGGGTAATAATAATTACTCCAGAAACTGTGGCTCTTCCACATGGTTGGGGCATTCTGAGAGCAGAGATCATCTGGCTTTCACATAGCTCTGCATCTAAACTAAGACGCTGTATAAAAGTGGTTAACTTAATAATGGCTGACTTTCACTGAGTGCTTATTATGGTGCCGGGCAATCTATATTACTATCAGAAGGGCAACAAGCTATTAGAAAGGCATTTAGTATTTTCTCCATTTTACAGATTAAAGAAACTGAGGCAGAGGTTAAATTGCCCAAAATAGCGAGTTGCAGAAGCAGAACTCAAACATTAAGTCCCGCAAAGGTCATGGGTGAGAACAACATCAAAGATAGAAATCAATGGGGTCAAGGGTCAGGAGGAAGTGGCTGGGGTACTCTAGGTCAAAGGTCACTAATATGTCATAGGTGATTGAGGGGTTGTTACTAAGGATAATTTGACCTAATCTCAATCGCGTCTCAGCTCGTGGCACTATAAAGCGACCAGGACATCTATAGTGGGGAAAGGCGGGGGGGGGGGGGGGGGGGGTAGCGCAAATGCATAAGAATCTGCAGAGCCACCGAAGGGGCGGCCTGATGGGAAAAGAAAGTGGCGCATGCGCGGCATCCGGGTTCCTGGGCGCGTGCCCACTGCAGACGTGGCAGAAGGAGTGCTACGGCCCTGGAGCGTGGGGGGTGGAACTTCCGGGGACGACACGACAGCTCCCTCGGAACCGGAAGTGGAGCCTGGGAGCCTTGACGTTAGGAACGAAGTCGAACCTGGATCTGGAGCCGGGTGAGGAGTGGCATCGGGAGGTTGGTGGGTAGGAAAGAAGAGAGGCCGGAGTATCACTGCCAGGTGGGGTTCGGTCTTAAAAGGAAGGGAGGAGCCCGGGGCCGGGGCCGGGTGAAAGACCCTCACCTCACGTATCCGCAATCCAAGATCAGTCTTAGACCCTACCCTCCCTTCTTTTCTCCCGGCTCAAATTCCGGCTCCCGCTTCCTGCCCCGAGCCTGTTGAAGGGCGCAAGACGCTCGATCTTCATGCTTAATGGATTAGCCCTCTTTCTCATCGTGGCCCGAGAAGCTGCCTTGACTTCTCAGTCTTGATCCCCGGCGCCCACAGCTTGACTACTTTCAGAGTTCTAGAAAGGTTGTCCCGCCCCCTGAGTTGTCACCCTCGACTGTCCACCCAGAATGGAGTGGAAACTTGAGCCTGCTCCAAACTCTTGGGTGTGTTTGAGGGAATTATTCCCTGGAGAAGAAGCTCCTTCCACTCCCAGACCCACACTGAGTTTAGGAAGATGAAGGGGAGGGGAACATCTGTTAAGATTAGTGTTGTGACCTGTGTAAGGTTTAGGATTTGGAAGAACAACGCCTGAGATGGCCCTGAGTTTAAAGAGGTCTAGTCCAGGAGCATCTTAGGTTTTCTATAGTCAAGACTAGCAAAGGGAAGAGGCCCATTGTTCCACTGCAGCAGCTATGAGCTGTCATGTTTTGTAGGCCCTTTTTGTCTGTAGGATAGTTGGAATAATAAGACTGTTTAGAGTAGATGTCGGATAGTTGTGTTCTTGGAAGGACCCAGGAAAGGGCTTCTAATTCATTCTTCTGTTGCTGGGCAAGATTGTACTAATTTTGGTGGTAGCCTGGATTCGTGACAACCATATAAAGAGAGCAGAAACAGAGTTGGAGGAGTGCATTGGGATTTGGAATACTCATAGTCCCTCTACTTGATGGATAAGGTGAATACTCTTTTTTCCGTGAAATCTAACATTGCTGCTGATCCTTGAACTGTTTCCCTAAGTTATTGTGAGGGTTTTTTTTTTTTTGTGTGTGTGTGCCTGACCTGCACTCAGTTCTAATCTGGTACCTTGCTGGAGTTTTCAGGTGTCCTTTACATTTAGTTATTCTAATGCTTCAGTTCTAAGGTACATCCACTCTTTTGGGAAGAAGACTGGAGATGGAGTAACATTTGGATTATTGTAGTTTAGCCAAAAATTATT